CCAACCAAGACCCTAAACCTAACCAAGACCCTAAACCTAACCAAGACTCTAAACCTAACCAAGACCCTAAACCTAACCACGTGAAGCTATTATGAGCGCTAACAAAGCTAAAAACAGAGCCTATTATCATCGCTAACAACGTACCTTTAAACCCACTAGGAGGTACAGGAGGTGCAGTCTGACCGCTTCATATGGAGATGATAACAACTAATAACGGCCATTTAATGGCTGATAGCATCCGAAGTGGGTGCACAACCAGCCTAATGTAGGTGACGCACACTTCCTCATGGTTTTTGGCTAATCCAGCCGAGTGCTGTGTTTACATCGAGTGCATTCCCACACTTCTGGATTGTATTTCTGGAATAACGCTGGGTAAAGTCTTTCTATTTGCATAATTTCATAGCTCCTTAGATAAGTAACATTATTGACTGACTATTTATGTATGTGAATGTTTCTGTCCAGAACCCTGAGACGACTCTTGTTGTGACTTGGTGCTACAGTAGTCCCTCGTTTATCACGAGGGATCCGTACCCTGAAGACCCACAATAAGTGAAAAACCGTGAAGTAGGCATAGTAGTACAAGTAGTAGTTTATTTTAGTATATATATATATATATATATATATATAGATGCTCTCTGCCTCCTCTGCCCTGTGCCACCTGCAAGTGCTCTCGGCCACGCCCACTTTTCCGCTCTGCACAGTGAACAGCTGATCAGCTGCAGCAGAAACTTTACCCTGCAGCAGTAAGGGCTGCACCAGGTGCTAAATAATTTAAAATAATTAATTTTAAATTAAAATGTCATGCCGATTGTGCGGCTCATCCATTAATCAGCCAGTTGTGTGTCATGTCCAATTTTAGTTTGACAAACCGAGATAGAGCGAGTCCGTGATAAACCGCCAAGTAGCGAGGGACTACTGTATGTAAATAAACGGAATTGAAATTGAATTGAATAATTTCATATAGGCCAGGACCATTTTTAAAATATATTTTATGGCCTTTAGTTAGTTTATGGGTTTGCTCTGCATTTGTACTGGTTTTACTGAATCTCACACAAAACTGCAGCTTCAGACGTTGATGAAGAAAAGCTCGTGGAACATGTTGTGGAACTGCTTCCTGTACCGCTGAATGAAACGTGTCCTGTGGACATAAACATGCAGTGAAGCTGCTGCAAGGACAGACAGCTCGCAGCAGTTTTATCTTTACCTCACAGGTGTAAGACGGACAGCCGCTGCCGTGCAACATTCCCAAAATCATTTTCAAACCCTTAGGGAGCCTTGCAGATATGAAAAGTGGGGCGATGTGGATTTCATTGATAAGCTGACAGCTTTCACTACAGGCGAGTGAATGAATGTGCGTGGGAGGGATGATTCAGACCAGGAGCATCAGCCTACCCTCAAATCCTCTGACCTCTCCATTCACCAGCTGGGGAGGTTTGGGGTGCAGACCTTCCTGCTTGTGGGATCTGTACACACTGATTGCAGCCTTCACTGAATTAGATTAGAACAAAAGCAATGCACATTTCCTGAATCTGCTCAAAATGTTGGCTCAAAATGCTCCTTTCCACCAAAGGAAGCTCTGTTCCTGGAGGCTTGCAGAAAGTTGTGATATGGAAGCCATCAGTGCAAAATGCAACTATCCTATTGGACTTATTTCAAGGGAGTACTGGTATTCAGGGCCAAACAATGAGCTGCAGCCTGTTAAACAATCACAGCATGTCTTACTGGAAGTTTTCTTTGCACAGAGTGATCAGCATGAGTCTGCACATCAAAATGAAGCTGCTCATCGTATCAGCAGGCGTTTCTGACCCACTGCCTACAAGGTTAAACATCTCCAAATGGTGGACTGTGGTCTGGATTTGGATCCAAATGAAGACATGTGGACCCAGATATATTCTCTCTCTCTCTTTCTCTTTGTATGGATGTATGGACGGACAGAAAGAGTGGATTCAAGGTTCTTTATTTGTCGTTCACACCACATGTGGTACATGTGCTGGAACGACATTATGTACACAGAGTCCCAGTTACATCCAACAAAAGTACCAAATGTAAAAGAACAACAGTAATAAAATACACTAAGCACCAATATCATAAAAACAATACACCGAACAGCAGCACGGGCATGAGTCTGTGTGAGCAGATGAGCATGCATGAACACATCAACATGAAACAGATCAGCAGCAACATGGAACAGATCAGCAGCAACATGGAACAGATCGGCAGCAACATGGAACAGATCGGTAGCAACATGATGTGATTCTTCAGTGATTATCCTGGTTAGAGATTCATGATTCTGGGTAGAAGCTGTTCCTCAGTTAATGCTCCTTAACCTCCTTCCTGAGGGGGTTGTGGGGTGGGAAAGATGAGTCACCTACGCCTGTCTCTACCTTCATTTGCCCCACAGTCCTTGAGCAAGGCCCTTAACACCACCACCCTCTCTGCATCCCTCTGCTCCACACATGTGGGCTGTGGTAGCTCCGTGGTTGTATCAGAATTGGCATCTGGTGTAGAAACAATTGACAATTCTTTGTGCAAGTTAGCTCACTGTATATATATATATATATATATATATATATATATATATATATATATATATATATACATATATACATACATATATACATATATATATATATATATATATATATATATATATATATATATATATTAGGTTAGGTAAATCTCAGGTCTGGCTCGTTTCTTTCTGCAGAGAAGCTGCCTGCAGACACAGGCCTGAACAAAACAAGACGGTAAGTGAAGAAAACAGCCTGTCACCAAGACAGATTTTAAATATATGTAAATATGTATCCTGGATTTTTTCTGTCAGCTGACAGACCTTCTCCCTTCAGACCACTTCTGTCCACCCGTGCAAACTTCCAGCTCCAACCTTGAGCATGCGTCAGGATATTCCAGCTACAACCCGCTCCTCTATGAGCTTTCTGGCTCTTTGAGAGCGTGCACAAAAAGAAGAAGAAGAAGAAGAAACGTACGTGAAAACGAAGAATAAAGTGGTCGATCCCACAAGGAGCGTGGCAGCGGTGGACACTGGGATGTATTTGGTGGCTTTAAATCTCTTTCCAGCGCTGTCGGGCATTCTGTATTTTCCACATTCCTCACTTGTTTATTCCGGTTGTAGACGCATGTAAGAAAAAGAGACGTCCGGTGAGCTGTCCTCTCAGTCTGTGGCCATGAAGGAACGAGCCGCCGCCTCTGCCGTCGCTGCAGCCGCAGAGCTCCAACCGTCAGTGAGCGCGAGCCACACCGAGCTCCCTGAAGCCTGGAAGTCCCGCCCCCAGCGTCCAGCCCACTGCTGACGTCACAGAACCGCTAGAAAAGGTGGAGCTTCGCTTAAAAACCCGGAAGTATTCATGTCCCCACTTTTTATTTTTTCATTTACTTATTTATTTTTGTTAGTTTATCCACTCTCAGTATGTTTTAACATCTAAACGTAGCTCAGATTTTAAAAATCTCTTAAATGGGATATTCTGGTCTGAATAGGTGCAAATTTAGCTGTGGTGCCAAACTTCATCCAGAATTATGTGAATTTGAGTTTTTTTTGCTCTTTTTTAAGTGCAGACACACGGAAAAACCAAACAGAAGACTTTTTTAAAATAAAATACCAACTTCCACTTTTAAATTCAGCAAAGTTTTTATGTACCAGTGTACATCCATCCACCCAGTCCCTCCACAAATACAAAGGAAACTGGCAGAAATTATGGCAAGCCAACTTCAAACCAAATAAAATCATGAAGTAATTATACTTAGTCCAAAGTCACTCAAATTAAACTTTATGTGTACAGCACAAACATAGAAATTCTGTATTATTTTTAGAGAGGAGTCGACGGGGGAGAGGACAGCCCCAGAAATCATCTCATCACCATCAATGGTTGCCCACTGTAGGAGTGTACTGCTTAGTAGGGAAAACAGTTTGTTTGTGACTTCTCAGACTGATGAAGTCCTTCGGATGGATGGCGAAACGTTTCTCAACAACAACAAAAAACTGTCCAGATGACCCGACTGAACATTGATGGAAAAATACAAATTGGAAATACATAAAAAAAAGTTTGTATCTTTATTTGGGCAATGTATCAACTTTAAATTTAAGTGGTAAAAATGTCATTAGAGATATTTATTATTCATATTTGATTAGATAACAAGTAATTGAGCATTGGTGATTACTCTCCTATAGGTGCAACATAATTATACAAATCTATAAGGTGTTCTGAATATTTAAGCTATACCAAAATTAAAATGTGCCATGTTAAAATAAAACAGGTAAAATGAAAGTTCTTATGCACATGGGTATAATAAATGACAAACCCTTTTTTGCAACCTCAACCTTTTTAATCTGTGCAATATTTTAGATATCTACATTTAAGTGTAGATATCTAAAACACAAGTTTATTGTAGTAAAATCAACATATTTTAGATAATATGGGTATTTATTGTAGATAGGAAAAATGTACTTGTGTACTTTTAGAGCTCAAAGCTCATCACACTTGAATGAAGTGAAGGAAATGGTCCTCAGAAGAATAAAGTCTGATATGTGAACCGACTGTAAACAAGAAAGGTGTCTATCTGACCCTCTGACACAGTCATATTGATTAAGGAGAACTAAATTATGAATATATGCAAAACATCCTATCTGATCGTTAAATATTAAAATGTACATCCATACTTTGAAATGATTTTTAGAGATCTTAAAGTTGCATTTTTCTACTACGGTATAATTTGTGAAACCCATGAATTTTCAGTGGGAGTTAGAATTCTATTTTAGATAAATTAAGTTTAAATTATGTTAATAAAAATATATGTGGTAAGGAGAAAATGGTATTATTGAAACTGTAAAAAGAAAGAAGTGGTTTCATTAATGGCCTGCCACTCAGGAAACTTTTAAAATGTAATGTCAGGGAAGATATGAGACTTTCCTTCAGAAAATTTACATAGAAAATAGAGTGGCAGAAGTTTGTGCGTTTGTTCCCACTGAAACATGATAAACATGATAAACATGATAAACATGATAAACATGATTTCATCTTCCTGGACCTCTCAGAGTTGGCTCGTTTCTTTCCAATAAAGAAGGGGTTATCTGCAGACCAAAAATGGGCGTTTCTGGAGAATAGGCGTTTGTAAAGGACAAAACTGATTGGCTAACTGTATTTACTGGCGCTTTAGGTAAGTTATCGTCCAATCAGATGTGGCCCCGGATGGTTTTTATATCGTCCAATCATGTGTGACCCTTCAGATACGCCCATTGTTTTATCGTCTAATCAGATGTTGTCTTCCCGACACGCCTTCCGAATTTTTCTGCAGATATTTCTACTTGACTTGCAACAGCTAACGTGGAAATTGGCGCCCTCTTGTGGTCAAAATCTGTTTGGCAGAAATTGCGAAATAAAAATCTTTGATTCGAACAGGCCAGAGCCCTGTAAAGAGAGAGTTGCGACACTCCCATAGACTCCCATAGAAATATCGTATCGGCGAGTTCAAAGAGTGTCGCAACTCTCTCTTTATAGGGCTCTGTAACAGGCCACCGTGGTATTTATTGGCAGACAAGCTGGGTCTTTGATTTAAACGATTTAAAAAGGTTGAGATTGCAAAATAGTTTGTTGTTTATTATACCTATGTGCATAAATTGTGTTAATTTTGCTGTTCAAGGAACTGGAACAATAAAAATATTGTAAAAAAAAGGTAATTGTGTGCACCTAAAAAAAAGGACTGAACAAAATTATAATTTTAATAATAAACAACTGTTGCTGTTTATTTTATACTGCTGAGATTTTTGTGTGTGATGTTTTATGTACTTTATTATGTACCTTGTATGATAGTGATGGTACTGATGATATACAATAAGACACTTAAACAAAAAAAGAGGATTAAACAGCTTTGTGTTTTGTTCTGCACTGCAGACGAGACTCAGACCTGTTTGAAATACACCAATAAACCTTAGCAACACAATTAAATGTAATGTTTTTTTTCTTGTCGTTCAGCTTAATTTTATTAGATTCAAATGGTATGAGTGTTTTATAATGAAACACTCTTTACTTGGTGAAAAAATAAGAAAGTTAAAATATTTTTATGCAGAAATTAATTAAGATAAAACCCAAATATTTTATATACAAATATTACAAAGTCCTTGACATGAAAAAGACAGAGAAAACAGTAAAAAACAACAAGAACATTTACAAGAAAACAAAACACCCACCCCTCTACCACATTTGACTTAACAGCTGAGGTGGTGAGGTTGTTTTTATCAAACATGACGCAGTGCATTATGGGTAAGAATAACTTCTTTGGTCTCATCTGTCTAAAGGTCATTGTTATGTCTGTGTTTTATTCAGATTCAACTTTACAAACTTAACTTGTGCTGCCATGTTTTTTAAGCTATATGTCTTTCTCCTGCAACCCTTCTGAACAAGCTTTATGTTGTTCTGTCTTTTTCAAACGGTCCTGTCGTGACCTTTAACCTGCTAACGGAGGCCTGTAGATTCTGTGATGGAGCTCTCTCTGAATAATCTTTCTGTGGACTGATGGACTTGCACCTGTTTGAAAAAGACATTTTACCATTTCACAGATTGATGGGCGGCAACAATAGCTTCTCTAAGGTCATTGTTGATGACTTTCCATTTTAACATTGTGTTAACATGCCTGTACACTCCAGAGCAGCAAACTGACAACATCCCAGATTTTATAGAAATGATCACACTTATGATAATCAATCAATCCATCCATCCATCCATCCATCCATTATCTTTACCAGCTTTTTCCTTTTTGGGTCACTGGTGTCCATGTCCAGCAGTCACAGTGCTTGAGGCATGGGACACCCTGGACAGGTCTCCAGTCCATCACAGGGACACATAGAGACAAACTACCATTCACACTCACACCCAGAGACAATTTATGCATGTTTTTGTCTGAGAAAACGCATGCCTGTGTGAGGAGAACATGCAAGTTCCTTCCAGAAAGGGGCCAGGTCAGGATTAGATCCGGCAACCTTCTCATGGAAGGGTGACAGCTCTTTCCCTGCTCCTGCCTGCTCATTCATTTTAAATCTTATGAATGCAACAAGGCTGTTTTAGTTTTCCCCCTCACATATTTTTCATTTAAGCTTTTTTTTTTTTAAATACATTTCCATTCATTCATTCAACCTTTATTTATACCAGTTAGTCCCACTGAGCCACGAGGACTCACAAGAGAGACCTGGATTTTAACAAAGAGTGATGACAACAGTGGATAACAACGACAACAATAGACATTCACAAATGATTCAAACAAATTATGATTTTATTTTTTTACAATTTAAAACAAAATGATCATTAAAAGGTGAAAGAAACGTAGCGAAAAAGCAGCTAGGTTGTAAGGCGGTGTAGAAAACTAAAAACAGGAGCATGTCTGCATTGTTTTTTGACAGAAACTTAACAGATTTTTAAAGCCACGTAGAGGTCAAGGTCAAGAGCTTCAGATCTTTTTGCAAGATATTCCAGGAAATAGGAGCAGAGTAGGAGAAGGACCTGAGGGAACACTGCAGTTAATTATGTCCTGAGAGCGCACGCTGTAGCTGCACTCACGCAGAGACATGTAGGAGGAGATGTATGAAGGCAGCAGACCAAGAAGTGATTTAAAGATGAAAATGTACCAGTGAGAGAGTCTGCGTGAAGTTAATGGTGACCAGTTAACCAGTGAATACAGGGTGCAGTGGTGGGTACGATAATCACAGCCAGTTATGAATCTTAGTGCACCATGATAGACAGCATCCAACATCTGCAGGGTTCTTGTAGGAGCGTTCATGTAAATAATGTCACCGTAATCAATGGAGGGAAGGAAAGTCACAGATACAAGGTGTTTCCTAGCGTTCAGAGTTAGACAGGATCTGTTTCTGAAAAAGAAACCCAGTTTAACTTTCAGTTTCTTTACCAAGTTTTTCACGTGAAGCTCAAAAGAGAGACGTGAGTTGACCAAGATACCCAGATATTTGTAGGAATCGACAAATTCAATAGGGACACCATTAAAGGATAAAATCACAGGAAGAACTGCTGGGACCGACTTCCTGTTTGAAAACAACATCCCTTTGGTTTTTGTCGGCGTTTAGGACAAGTTTGAGACGGAAAAAATTGGACTGGATAATGTCGAAAGCGAATTGCAAAAGCTGGAAAACCTTAGCAACTGTTTTAGCTCAACAGTAAACAACTGTGTCATCAGCGTAGAAATGTATGGATGCATCAGGGATGCTCTGACCTACATTACCTATGTAGATTGTAAAGAGGGTGGATCCTAAGACTGAGCCTTGTGGTACACCATTGTTAACTGTTAAATACAGTGCCTTGTGAAAGTATTCGGCCTCCTTGAACTTTTCAACCTTTTGCCACATTTCAGGCTTCAAACATAAAGATATAAAATTTTAATTTTTTGTGAAGAATCAACAACAAGTGGGACACAATCATGAAGTGGAATGAAATTTATTGGATGTGTCAAACTTTTTTAACAAATAAAAAACTGAAAAGTGGGGCGTGCAATATTATTGGGCCCCTTTACTTTCAGTGCAGCAAACTCACTCCAGAAGTTCAGTGAGGATCTATGAATGATCCAATGTTGTCCCAAATGACTGATGATGATAAATAGAATCCACCTGTGTGTAATCAAGTCTCTGTATAAATGCACCTGCTCTGTGATAGTCTCAGGGTTCTGTTCAAAGTGCAGAGAGCATCATGAAGACCAAGGAACACACCAGGCAGGTCCGAGATACTGTTGTGGAGAAGTTTAAAGCCGGATTTGGATACAAAAAGATTTCCCAAGCTTTAAACATCCCAAGGAGCACTGTGCAAGCATTCATATTGAAATGGAAGGAGTATCAGACCACTGCAAATCTACCAAGACCCGGCCGTCCCTCTAAACTTTCATCTGGAACAAGGAGAAGACTGATCAGAGATGCAGCCAAGAGGCCCATAATCTCTCTGGATTAACTGCAGAGATCTACAGCTGAGGTGGGAGAGTCTGTCCATAGGACAACAATCAGTCGTACACTGCACAAATCTGGCCTTTATGGAAGAGTGGCAAGAAGAAAGCCATTTCTCAAAGATATCCATAAAAAGTGTTGTTTAAAGTTTGTCACAAGCACCTGGGAGACACCAAACATGTGGAAGAAGGTGCTCTGGTCACATGAAACCAGAATCAAACTGTTTGGCCACAATGCAAAATGATATGTTTGGTGTAAAAGCAACACAGCTCATCACCCTGAACACACCATCCCCACTGTCAAACATGGTGGTGGCAGCATCATGGTTTGGGCCTGCTTTTCGTCAGCAGGGACAGAGAAGATGGTCAGAATTGATGGGAAGATGGATGGAGCCAAATACAGGACCATTCTGGAAGAAAACCTGTTTGAGTCTGCAAGAGACCTGAGACTGGGACGGAGATTTATCTTCCAACAAGACAATGATCCAAAACATAAAGACACATCTACAATGGAATGGTTCACAAATAAACGTATCCAGGTGTTGGAATGGCCAAGTCAAAGTCCAGACCTGAATCCAATCGAGAATCTGTGGAAAGAGCTGAAGACTGCTGTTCACAAACGCTCTCCATCCAACCTCACTGAGCTCGAGATGTTTTGCAAAGAAGAATGGGCAGAATTTCAGTGTCTCCATGTGTAAAACTGATAGAGACAAACCCCAAGAGACTTGCAGCTGGAACTGCAGCAAAAGGCGGCGCTACAAAGTATTAACGCAAGGTGGAAATACCATTATGTTGAACACATTGCCTCCGATCTGAAATATAGTTAAATTTGTTGTGTGCTTTTGTAAATATGAAGTTAAATTTACAAAATGTTAGAGCCTGGCAGAGATCCTTTTTTACATCATGATGTCTAAAACCATAGAATTGAAAGATATTTGACATTCTTCTTTCTTTGACTGTACTTAAAACATTTAATATAATATATAATAATATATATAATAACATATATAAAATAATAGCGCAGCAGCACGGTGGCGTAACTGGCAGAGCCGCTGCCTCTCAGCAAGCAGGTCCCTGGTTCAAATCCCAGTCCCGGGGGCCCTTCTGGGTGGAGCCTGTATGTTCTCTCTGTCCACACGTGGGTTTTCTCTGGGTACTCCAGTTTCCTCCCACAGACCAAAAACATGCATGTTAGGCTGATTGGTAACTCTAAATTGTCCCTAGGAGTGAGTGAGAGAGTGAATGGTTGTTTGTCTCATTTGTCTCTATGTGTCCCTGTGATGGACTGGAGACCTGTCCAGGGTGTACCCCGCCCCTCACACAGTGATTGCTGAACATGGGCACCCGTGACCCCCGTGACCCAAAATGGAAGAAGCGGGTAAAGATAATGGATGGATGGATGGATGGATGGATGGGAAAAATCTGAGTAAATCTATGCGTAATGCGTCATCAATCACGTGACTCCTGAAGCCGGAAGTAAGTCCTCTGCTCGGCGCATGTTTCAGTTCAAGAGTCCACCACTATATCCATCTAAACATCACCGCTCGTGACTTAATTGTGCAATCAGCACTTTTCTCTTGTCTTAGTTCATATCGCTGGAGTTAACATTGACAGCTGGACGTCGTTGTAGAAACAGGAAGGAGAACCTTTCCGGGAACACAGCTTTCGCTAAGCTCGGCTAAGTAGCTAGCAGAAGTGAACTCCCCGGCGCCTCGCAGGATGTCCTACAGGAAAACTTTCAAGCTGATCTGTGGTTTCACCGGAGGCTCGGCCGTCCTGGTGTTCGCGGCAGCTGTAGCCGAGTCTCGAGGCTACTTCGGGGAGAGCCGGGGAGAGGCGGCCGGTCGGTGGTCCAGACTGACCGTGGTCCAAGCTGCTCAGCCGGCTTGGACATCTGCCCGGAACACGCCGGCTCCGAATGGACCCTCCTGGGACTTCAACTGGGACAAGTATGTTCCAGTTCAGGAGAGTTGGTTTCTTCCATCTGTGCACGAGCAGAGCTCAAGCTGTGCCCAGTTTATTATCCTCTGACATGAAAGTAGGCAAGTTTAGTTATTCAGGTTAGTTAATTTAAGCTAATGCTGTCTGTTAAACAACCACTGTGCAACATCCGGTTGGGAGGAGGGATTTGTCCAACTAAATTATAAGATTTTCTTCTAAGTGACTCGTTGGGTTAACCCAGTTCTCGTTCTCAAGTTAAGCCGCCTCTAATGTCAGATTCACCTCTGTCTGTCTGTCTGTCTGTCTGTCTGTCTGTCCAGGAGAGACCCGTCTGTCCTGTCCAATGGGAAGAAGAAGGACAGCGTGGCTGAAGACCCCAGCTCTGAGCAGGACAACGGCAAACCCAAAGCCACGCGCCACATCCTCCTCATCCGACACTCCCAGTATAACCTGAGTGGAAGCAGCGACAGGGAGAGGATCCTCACACCATTAGGTTCGTTTTACACAAACATTCAGCCGAACGCTTCGAGTTCCTGATTAATCCGTTTGTCACGTGGACTGGTTCTCAGGTCGTGAGCAGGCGGAGTTGACAGGTCGGAGGTTGGCAGCTATGGGGTTGAAGTATGATGTTCTGATCCACTCCAGCATGGCCAGGGCCACTGAAACGGCACAGATTATCAGCAAACACCTGCCAGGTAACGAAGAGTTAAAGCTCTGCTCATCAAATCAAAAATAAAACAACTTGACGTGCTTTTTTCTCCAAATGTCACTGGGTTGCAGGGTTGGAGCTCGTGAGCTGTGACATGCTCAGGGAGGGTGCACCTATAGAACCGGTCCCACCCGTCACTCACTGGAAACCTGAAGCTGTGGTGAGAGAAGCTACGTCCACTCTGCCCGACAGCCCACAGGTTCCACCTCCAGCTGCCTCTGTGTTGCAGTCACCCCAAATGCTTGTTCAGGAAAGAATCCCACTGGGTTGGTGACTGTTTGGAGAACTGCATTCACGAGGGTTCTCAAAATGTTTGCAGGGAATCAAGCTGCTTGAATTTTTGTGCAACCAATTTTCTCTCAAAATGGAGTTCTTGTCAATTCAGTTTATTTATCTATCACCAAGTTGCATCAGAAGTCGTCTCAGGGCACTGAACAGAAACATTCATATATAAAAATAATAATTTAACATTATTTATCTGAGGAGCAGCTTTGAGTCTAACTTCATCACAGACTCTGATTTTGAGCAAGTGTGAAGGCGACAGTGGACAGGAAAAACTCCCTCATGAGGAAGAAACCTTTAGCAGAACCAGCGGTCATCTGCTTCGACCGGCTGGGTTTGAGAAGAACAGATACACAATGGCAGGTCAAGAATCACATGTTAAGATAGGAATAATATCAAATGAAAACTATTCAATTTTATCAATTCATTTAAGGAAATGAGGTCAATTTGTCCTCTAGTAGTCTAAGTATATAGCAGCATAACAGCCAACCCTAACTATAGGATTTATCAAAAAGGAAAGTCTTAATCCCAGTCTTCAAACTGGACAATGTGTCAGTCTCATGGACAGAAACTGGAAGTTGTTCCACAAGAGAGGAGCCTGATAACTGAAAGATCTTCCTCCCATTCTGCTTTTGGAAACTCTATGAACCACAAGGAAACCTGCAGTCTGAGAGCAAAGTGCTCTGTTAGGAAAATATGGAACAATAAGATCTGTAATATAAGATGGAGCTAGGTTGTTGAGGGCTTTGTGTCTTGAACCCATTTTAAATTTAGTTTCTTTAATTTTCTTAGAGCTGTACTTCAACACGTCCACAGAAACTCTCCTCTGACAGGAAACATCTGAGACCACAGCCGGAATGTCCAGGTGTCCAAAAGAATGGTAGAGATGGAAGAAGTTGAAACTGGTCCACATCTGCTTACATTCGTTTATTCCAGTGCGTTGAATTGTAAACATGGAGGCAGCTTCCTAAGGGGGTTAGCTGCAAGACATGGTGGACGCTGCAATAATGTGCACAGCCTGGAATATAATTCTTCAAGCTGTGATCACAAAAATAAACAAAACACAGACCCAGAGCTCAACGATCACTGGGTCACGAGCAGAATTCAGTGAGACTGCAAATGAAAATTAGCTTCATTTTTTCTAATGTTGCAGTTTGAAGTCACCAACTGGTGTCCAACAGTCACAACCCAGTGAGGAACTACCTTTAGGCTTTACATCTCCAAACTCAACCAGTTTCTGTTCAGACATCAGCACGCTGACCGGCAGAGGTCATGCGAGTTATTTCCAAAATGGCTGACCTGCGCTCAAAGGTCTGGCGGATAATCTTTTTTTTTATTGTATCAAAGTTCATGTTCAATAATCCAGGTAATAAATCCAACAGTGTTCAGTCAGGTCATCTGGACAGGTTTTTTTGTTGAGACATTTCACCCTCCATCCAAAGGGCTTCATCAGTCTGAGGAGTCGCAAACTTTTCCCCACTAAGCAGCCCACTCTTAAAGTGGATCGACCAGGTTACTGGTGATGAGACGGTTTGTGGGGGCCGTCCTCTCCCCGTCGACTCCTCCCAGGCAACCACAGCCAAAGTGGTTCAAGACGTCAAAGTTCATGCTCAATAATCAGTTTGTATGCGACTCCTCAGACTGATGAAGCCCTTCGGATGGAGGGTGAAACGTCTCAACAAAAAAAAGGAACTGTCCAGATGAACATTGATGGATTTTTTTATTGTAGTTTTTTCCACTTTTGTATGAACTTTTTCTCAACAATCTACAGTTTTTTGTACTTTAGGCCACAGATTGAGATTCCTACTAACAGGTTGATTTTTGGGTCATGTTTTCATAAGAAATAATAATTCACAGATAGTGTCGAGCATTAGCCTTTATAGTCCTGACTAATTACATCAAGGAAAGTGGGGAGTAGTTCTGTTTTATGTAGAATATTTATTAGAGCAATAATAATAGATAATAATCTTTAATAATAATTTAATAATTGAGAAAGCTCCTCGGATGAGGAGCGAAACGTCTTCTGTTACAAATAAAGTGCAGTTGTTTTTGTATTGAACGCTTTTTGAATTCATCTTTAATAATCTAATAATATTTGATAATAATCTTTAATAATATTTGATAATAATCTTTAATAATATTTGATAATAATCTTTAATAATAATCTTTAATAATAATCTTTAATAATATTTCCTACCTGCTGTAAAAGAAAAGCAGTTGTCTGTCCAGTGATGTTCTCAGTGTTTTTCCCCAGAGGAATAATTTTAGCTGGCCTTCCTTTGGAATGAAGCTCTGATTGTTCCTTTGGATGTCCAGCGGCACCACACACACACATTGTTCTGGATGACGGGTTCTAACAGAACCCCGTCATGTGACAATGGACACATTCAACCTGTCTGCTGTTCTCCAGCAGTACCACGAAGATGGAGCTCGCATTGAGGCAGCTTTCCGCCGCTACATCCACCGGGCTGACCCCAAGCAGAAGGAGGACAGCTATGAGATCATCGTGTGTCATGCCAATGTCATCCGTTATTTTGTGTGCAGGTTTGTGCCGGCGGCGGCTCAGCTGAGGCCTCGGTTGGCCTTCATGCTCTTTGCTTCGCAACCCTCTCACCTCAGTCTATGTTGCTGTAGTTTACCGTATTTTTCGGACTATAAGGCGCATGAAGCGAAACCAAAACATTTCAGATTTTTGAGCACCGTGCACCACATAAAATCACTTCGAGGTGAGTAAGCACAACCTGAATTAATACAGACGGCTCACTGTTGACTTTTGAGAACATTAAAGGATTTTACGTTTGCCTTATAGTCTGAAAAATATGGCATTTCATTTTTTGTGTGTTACATGAGTTCCCTTCCAGATGTTGTGCTGTGTTCCATCACCCTTTAACTTTTTCTTTGACCATATCACTGTCTGGATGTTTTTCACCTGTAAATCTACAAAGCAGGTTCAAGAACAATCCTTCAAATGTTTAACGGAGAACTTTATTAAAAAAACGTTCAGCTGGATCGAAGGTCTGCTCTTTGACACGTTTCTTTGTTCCCTTCTCTCTCAGGGCTCTCCAGTTCCCCCCAGAGGGCTGGCTGCGTATGGGTTTGCATAACGGGAGCATCACCTGGCTCACCATCCGCCCGAGTGGCAGGGTGGGCCTGAGGACTCTGGGCGATGCAGGATTTATGCCCCCAGACAAACTAACCCGGACCTGATGGCTCAGCACAGGTGGCTCAGTGTTTTCCTTAAGTGTCTTGAAAATATTTATTTTATTACAGAGTACCATGTCAGATTGTGCGGTGCTGTTGTGGTTCCGTCGGTGCCGTCACCAGCAGAGTGATTAACAGCTGCACACGTGAATGTAATTTTAATATTTGTACACAAGTGAGGTTTTTTAGCCAAACATCTGTATTTGTATAGCAGCTGTTCATGCGATGAGCTGAGTGGAGTTATTAGTTTAATGGAGTTGTGATAAATATCGCCTCGACTTTTTTCTTGCTTGTACACAAAATCAGAGAAATGCAAATAAACACAACAGCAGTAATGTAGGAGTGATTTATTGAGTAGTTGAAAGCAAAATCAATTTAGACACATCAAGAGTTCACCGTGTACTTTTTTTTTTTGTTTTTTTTAAATAAAGCATGTTTTAAGTTGTTTAGGTGCATTTTTGCAAAGTTCCACATTCAGAAACATTCGGAGAGCAAAGTTGATCTCTTGAGGATGACGTACAATCTTCTCTGAAGGAGCTTGTGCTCATTAAAAATAACTTCACACAACAGAATACATTCAAAACACGTTCAGACTTAAGTGGCAATTTGAAAATTCATCGTAACGTTTTACCTTCCTGGACGCGACTCGTGAGCTCTCGCAGAAGCAGCGAACGTTTCCGAACAACGGTTTGGACACACTGACTCGATGTTTCATCACTGCCACATGCACGAGGTTGTTCTGTACAGCTTTGACAATTAAAGCTTTGGGATTAACAATTAGGTAAAAAGTATTTTTATGTAAAAAAAAAAAAGCAGCGTACAAAGACCGGATCAACTTCCAGCACAATGCAGCTTTCATTTATTCAATAATGCTGTTCAAGCATAAGGCAGTAAGTTATTAAATTGGTCTGAACGGTGTAGCTATTTGATTATATCGAAAGTTTTGCTAAAAAAAACCTGTGGTTTGTAGATTTAAGATGATCCCGAACTGGTTTAAGTTCAGCCCAAACCAGTCAAACAATCCTGACGGACGAGTGAGACACCAGAACAGAAAATGGCATTAAGGCTGCCGTTCAGGCAAAAAGAAACAAGTCGTACACGTCCTGCTATGACCAGGAAACAGATGTATACAATTATTAGACCCAAATAAAAACATGAAAGATTTTCTTTTTCATACTTTTCAAGTACGAGTGGAAATATTTCCAGTTTGACAGAACTGGTCCATCGCTTCAGAAAATTAAGGCAGTTCTCAAACTGAGGAACAACACAGGAAATGGCAGTTGGTTTAGACACCATTAATAAAAACATTTAATCTTTGTGCTACTGATCAACATACAAAAAATATTTATTTAAAATATCAATATTTTACTCGTTTTAGTATTTTTAAGAAATGGTCTTCAGCGACGGACTCCTAACGAGGACACGTCCTGTTTGAGTGTGAGACCAGCTAATTGTGGCGTTTGATCACATGTCGCCCACCAGTTGACCCAGGGTGTGGAACACCAGTATGACTGGGTCATACTGGTGTTCCACAGTTGCCACCAACACTTTCAGTAAATCACCCATACAGTACTTAAACTATGAAGTTTAGTTTTTTCCTTTTTAAAGTCTTGAGTTGACATCACGGCCTAATGTGATGAGACTTCCTGTTCTACATAGTACCATACATCATAAAAACAAATCCACCAGATGGTTGTGCATATTTCTGTCAGGTGTGGAGTTTCTGTGCTCTGGTGCAGCTCGGGGGGGGCAGTTATAGTGGTTCGTTTAGGTGTCTGAGGCGTTGGATGTAGCTAACACTGGCAGGGCTGTATCGGCTGGGGCTGAAGTCTGGTGAGGCAGCGTGGCGGACAGGACTGAAGCGACCGCTGGGGGCCATCAGGCCGCTGATGGGGGAGCCGGGGGTCTGGTGCTGCATCTTGAGTCGGGCTTTCACCACCGGGCTGGGCCAGCTGCACAACACACAACACTTGTGGTTACTTTTCAGTACTGATCCTTAGCTGTGGTTATTTGTGCTAAACGCTCATGGAAACATGTTTAAACCAACTCTTTGTCACAAGGGAACATGGAACAGACGGTTCCATGGTCACAGCTCGCATGGTGATAGTTTTTACTACTGTAAACAAGTATGAATACTCTGAACTGAGGGTCTGTGAAAAGGTTAAACATCTGGAATCTTACCTGTTAACTCTTTAAATAACCTCAGTGTGGAGAAATAGTTGAAGTTTGGAGAAAAGCATGCAAAACAATTAAAATTCCTATTTTTATTTTACAAAAACAGCTATAAGAATTATTAGTATGAAGTGCTATGGTCAGCCGACAAATATATTATTTCATCAGTTGAAATTATTAACATTTGTATGATTTGGTTGAATATAGTATTTTACAAGTCCTGTATAAAGCTCATAAAAATATTACCCCCAAATATTCAATTAAAATTGTTAAAAAAAAAGTCATAATAACCTTAAGGGTACTGGTGGGCGATATGGCTCAAATATAATATTGTGATATTTCAGAGCATTCTGGCGATAACGATAAATTTAATGATATAACAACAACAACAAAACAGAAAGTTATTTGACTAAATTAACTTAACATGTTGCTTTGCAGTATTGTGTGTGTATGTATATTATATATATATATATATATATATATATATATATATATATATATATA